ACTATATCTACCAACAGGTAAATTGGTGAATATTATTTTAGCGGGGGTGAATAACTAGAAACTGAATATAACACAGAATATGGAAAGCCCTATCATTAAATGTGAGCACAATCGCCATACAACATTTCTTTCCAGTTTATAAGGGTTCTGTGAATACCCAGGTAAAATGTAAACTGGTCCTGTTGTTACTAACTTAGACACTATTTAAAATTACAAATATGAATTTAAATTAAAAATATTTGAAGTACAAAAAAAAGAAAAACTTAGGACGTAACAACCCGTAAAGCTAGAGTAGCTTCCTACTAAAAATGTATGTAAAATGTTAATTTTAAATAATATTAAGTTATCGTGTTAGGCTTGATTTCCATTTGGAGATTCTGTCTGGTCTTGTCGATGAAATGTTTGAGTCGCAAGAAAGTAATATGTGCTTCTAAAATGTTGTAATACTGCCCGTATACAATACAGGGAATTCCCCTTGCACTGGAGATTTTTTATGAACATGGAATGGTGCCACTGAATCTGACGCATAAGAATACTATTATTTTTCGGTACCGAAATGCCCCCTTAAGAACTTACAAAATAAAGAATAATATAAAAAGATGACCGAACTGTGTTTTTAATATTTTTTTAAATTTAGAAATAAAAGAAATAATTTTGGTTTACAACATGAACACAAGGGTGAAGCTAGTAATCCCTATTATAACTTTTTACTGGTTTAAATTTTATCATAAAAGAGTATGCCTTCGAAAGCTTCATTTATTTAGAAAACCTAATAATTGTTTTCATTTTTGTTAGAACTGCTATCTTTTCAATATAAAAATTAAACACAACGGTTCGGAAAATTGTGGTATGTAATAAAACGACAAATGCTTAGCAGACTAGGTACTTTCAAAAGGTACTTATTGTCCTTGGAATCGAAATTTATAGCTTAATTAGTCTTTCTATCTATTTCGAAATTTGAGACAAATAATAACTCATACTTTAGTCTCTATTCTTGGAAGTGAGAAATTATTTAGCAAGGCGTTTTCGGACATACTTCACAGAAACCTTTTTTTGTTTCGGAGTTTCAAATTCAAATTTTAGGTTTAACCAGTTAAACCTGAAGCATCCTGTATAAATAATTGACTGTGACTATATAAATAACTATATAAAAGTTCAACAATAATGCCACATGATGGTGAACAGTCAGACATTTAATTTGTTTACAAATAAACAAAGAATAGTCAGTCTCTCCTTTCTTCCAATTGGTCGATTTTAACACTCAAGGTGGGCTAGAAAGCTTGTAACGTCTAGACTAAACAAGAAAATTAGCGACCTTGATAAATCAATACTAAATAAATTTTTACAATTTCTGCACAAAAAAGGCTAATTAATCCATATTAATTAATTAATTAATTAATCGATACCAGACAAAGGTGTTTTATTTATTATAAACTAAAAATGTATGTAAAGTGTTATTTATATATTTTCTTTTAGTTCTTCTTCATTGTTAAAGCAATTTACATCAATCGAAAATCGGAAAAGCATAGCCCAACTTTTCAGGTGGATGCAAGGCTTTCTGACGTTACTCCTGACTGATTTAAACAAAAGTAAATGTTACGCCTAAGAAAACATGCCACGCTTAGGGGACATCGATTTTAATATAAGGTTGTGCGAGACAAGTCACGACTGGTGGCCGCTATTTTCATGACAGTTCAGTAAAACGAAACAAGTTATATAAACTTCTTGCTCCTAGATTAAGTGTTTTTCAAAAAGGAGTTTTCGTTATCTTGAATCATTACATTTTCATTTCTGTTTCTTTCCTAATATCTTGCAAGCAGTGTTGACAAGGCTTTGTTTTTTCGTGATATCCTTGTAGTACAAGTTTCACGATAAACCAATTTTTAGGAAATTCTTAATATGTTTTAGTGGAACTTTAGTATCATTATTACATTTTCTCACAATAAATCTACATGTAAAAGAAGCAATTTTTGTATTCATTTTCCATAACGGGATAGAAAAAAATTGCCAAACAGTCACTGGTCAGTCAATTTTTATGATCAATATTCATAAATTTCAGAAGAAACCTTAAATATACAACGTTTCACAGATTTTGAAAACTGACTAGCCTAAAACGTCTTTAAAGCATGCGATACGACGATTTATGACCTTTTCAGAAGCCTATCTGGTCATGCATTTTCGCAAGACTAAGACCAATACTGTCTTTATACTATCAAAGTCAAGACCAAAATCGAACAAATAAGACGTAGACTAAAACCAAGACCGAACGAACAAGACTAAGACTAAAACCAACTGTTTTCTTTAACAGTCATGATAAGCTCATATGTATAAAAGAAAATGTCAGCATTTAAGACAATTATTATACTTAAAAAGTTATTTAAAAAAGGCGTAAGCATCAGATTAAATAAGCAAGACTTAACAGGCAAGACCAAGACTAAGACCGAATAAGCAAGACCATGACCTATGGCAAGGTTAAAGTTGGTCCTGCTGTGCTCATCACTAGTGAAAGTTGTGGTAGGTATGTAATAATATAAATGGCGTAGAATTATTGTTTCAGAAACCAAAACAAATAGAACCTTAAATTATTCATTTAAGGACCCCTCCTTTCTGTCTTCTGCGAAACTTTTTTCTAAGTTTCTAAATTTATAGCAGAAGATATACTCATTTACACGGGTGACTTTATCAATAATACCGCGTATCTACAACTATAGAGTGGAAAATATTTATGTCAATTTCAGTAATCATTTATTCTGTTTTTTAATAAGATAGGACCTACCTAACACTATCAAGAACATCGACTTTTTTACTTTATCGTTCCACTTACGTAGCCAAACAAGTAGTTTAAAAAAACTATTTTTTGATATGATAGGTAGATATTAACCCGCTTAGTTAAGGAAAAATAAATTTTGCACAATATATTCACCGTGGTCATCGCTGAGAATTTCTTCAAAGTACTACCTCTATAGGAGCAAAACTGAAATCCAAAGTCTGTACTAAAAATTCTTTAAGTGCTCCGATTAAGTNAAAAACTATCCCCCGATTTATTTCTTAGCCAACAGTATTTAAACTTATCCTAACCGAAACATTGAAATAGTCCAACAACAACAAACCTTATAATTACTCTAAACGATCGCAACGTTCGCATGTATGGCATATGATCCTTCCGAGATCACTTTAATAATCGAAAAGGCTACAATGATAGACTGCACCTCAATGACACCAAACGCAGGTACGACCATTCTCAAGCAAAACACATGTGAATGAACTGACCCATAACTACATCTAAACAAAATTACGATTATCAAATATATACATATACACAAAAGCTCAAGTAGATTATATTTTGAAAAAACACAACATCTTTATAGTTCCTGTAGTTCATGTGATTTTTGAATTGATTCATACAGGTATTTGGATTCATACGATAAGAGCGTATTTCAGTATATATTATGGAAATAATTACCCAACAGGCTCTATGGAAGTCAATAAGAAATAGGCGAGATAGGTTAGTAGGACACCTTCTCAGGCATGAAGGACTAGTAAGAGACATATTAGAGGCAGAAACGGAAGTTAGGAGGGTAGAGGTAGACCTAGGTTAGATTACTGTTCGCGAATAGTTAAGGCGAAAGATTAGCGTAGGATGGGAAAGAGCGGAGGTGCGTGTCCAACCAGTCCTAGGACTGACGACCTAATGATGATGATGAATTACCCAATATTGATTTAGTTTACACAAAAAGGAGGGACTGCACAACTGTAGTGAACTTCACCGTATAGCAATTTAGCAGTATATATACTTTTTCAATGAAACAATCTCTTTTTCTAACTCTTAACCAAACTATTTTAACTTGAACACACTGTTGAACCACTCAGTATAAAGACTGATATGGTCATAGAAGTTTACCGTCACGATATTTGAAACAAATCATTTGTTCAACTCCAGCTTTTAGGCTGCTCCAGTTATCAACACTGTGTATAAGGATAGACACGATCAGAAGTATTTAAAAAAAAATATTCAATTTTTACTAACTTTTATAAGATTTACGTAAGTTATGAAAGAGAAAGATTCCAACATGTTTCCTTGAGTATATAGCATTTGGCGTATTCTTTTTTACTATTTTTTCAACAGATTTTAGTGTTTTTGAGATCAACGTGCAGCATAACTGTCCTTTTAGAACCATATCGTTTAAGCTTGTTAAATGACGTAATATAACGACAGGAATTAACTAATGATTAATAGTCATTATCTGTTTGTTATCATGTCATGGTTAATGTAAAATTTGGACAATCTTAGTGGTAGCACTGTTATTCAATTTTTTTTCTGAAATCCAGCTGACCAGAATTATACATATATTACTACGAATTTGACGCCTGTTTCGATGGAATTATTTTTACATGCGTATATTTTTCAGAGTTTGTTGATGGGCCTAAGTGGAGATTTATTACGTATACCTGTTGTTAAATTTGCTATTGTACAGAACTGGAAATTCCAAATTTACCTTTCAAGTTGGGGTCTATTAAATTCGTTACCTACATTATAAACCCTTTTTGGAACTTACCTACCACTTCGAACCTCATATTAAGTATAAGTTTAACCCACTAATAAAAAAGAAAAGCAGATCTTGTCCAATCACGGAAACTGTAACATCTCAAACGTATCATTCTTGTATACATTAATAAATAATTTTAAGTTAACTGTGAGCGACAAAAATAACTCTGATTAATAAACTTCTACTGATTTTTAGCCCCTCGTCTTGCGCTCTTCGCAACGCTCTAGCACAATTTAATTTAATACTATTTGTTATTTGATGATCGTACCATAACTGTAGTTTAGATACTTGCATGTTTTTATATAAGTAGATTACCCTTCAAAATCTTCATAATATATTTATGATAATCAAGCAGTTCATACAAATTATAAACTTAGAATGTAGGCCCTAGTATCGAGTAGAATATACTTGTCATAATGTCCTAAATGTGTAGCAGTATAAAGAGGGTACATTATTTAATTTTGGATTAAATAGGTTGTGGAGGCGCTTTGTCATCTCCAGATGGAGTGATTATATCACCTCAATACCCTGAATCCTACAGCAGCAATTTGGAGTGTTATTGGCGTATATCAACGAACGTTGGTTCTTTCCTCAGAATAACAATTACAGATATTGAACTGGAACAGTCCGATTGCAACTCAGATTACATTCAGGTATTGTTATGATAATGATAATTTTATCCAAGAAGATTAAATTTCAATATAATACAATTATTCTTTCAGTAGTAGATTACTTGTAATATAATACTTTGAATTTAATTTAAATGGGGGTTTGCTCACTCTCGTATTGTAACACGTCAGCGTTTGGAAGTACCCATACTACTGATATGTTTTCAATCATGCTCTGAAATATAGTTCCTTCATTTCTCACAAAATAAGCTGTCTCTAAAATAAACTGTTCCAATTATAGATTTACGATGGCTTGCAAAATTCAAAGCTTCTAGGAGTGTTTTGCACCATGAAAAATGTAGTTCCCATTCATTCAACGTCAAATCATGTTGGCATTAAATTTGTATCCGACGGGGCCATAGAAGGACGTGGATTCCATTTGCAATATTCTACAGGTATGACGTTTTTTACTATTTCAACTTAACTTCAGATTTTATTGATAAATTATCTTATTAAGATTGTAGAAATACTGTTACTGGGTTCAATGGGGCCATAGAGAGTCCTAATTTTCCTAATAACTTTCCTCATGAAATGAATTGCACATGGAAAATTGAAGTGTTACGAGGGAATAAGATAAACCTGACCATTTCTCGTTTAAGTCTTTTAAGGGAATTCCAATTGGATTCGAAGAATTGTTCTATAAATTATTTAGAGGTAGGAACATATGATTGATAGTTTTTTTAAGATATAAATAGGGCACAAAACCATCATAAAGTTAATTCAGTTAATTCAAAATTGGAGAAAATGAAGGGCGATGAATGATAAATAAAAATTAGGAACGTTAGAAGAAGAAAATTTAAGGAAAGAAATATGGGGTAAGAGGGTGAAATAGATAGAATGAAAAATCGATACGAGGAGAGAGATATAAACATAAAGCAAGAGTAAATAAATGAGTGGACAAGGATTGGGTAGGAATGTAGGGTAAATGAGCAGGGAAAGATGCAAAAGATAGAGGATCGAAGTAAAAAGAAAGAAGTTGCAGAGTTAGTGAGAGGGAGAATAGCAGTTTGATATATGAGTTAGAAGAATGTGTTAAGAACAAAGGAATGGATGAATGCGGATGTATGGTTGATAATAGTGGCAAAGAAAAGAAATGTTGAGAAAAACCTTTAAAAGGGTTGATAAATTTAGATGATGCAATAGAGCTTATTAAGTATTTATAGAAATAAGGAATGTGTAAGGAAAAAAATTGTTAATTTATAAATTAAGAATATATAGATACTTATAATATTGTTATGTTATGTTACTTAACGTTACGTTTCTTCCCTTGTGGATTATATGTCACATTATGGATAATTCTATAACATGTCTAATCCTTATAAATAGTTGCCGCGAGATCGGAAGAGTTAGTGAGTCAAGATCAAGTTATAAGGCAATACAGAGCGAAGTAGAAAGAGCGAGAAGTGTCAAGGTGTGCAATATAGTGTTAGTTACACAGACGCAACTTTTAAATAAATTTAGCTATAGTGAGGAAGGTGTTTGATTACAATAAGTTGATCAGACTCTTTATCAATTTGAGTACGACGTGGAGCGCCTTGCAAGATTAGCACATCCATCTAACCCTTTGAAGTTCATAGACCAACTGATTGTGCATAAATTCATTGATGGAGTGAGGGACGGTGAACTACATCCAGTCCTCAGACTAGCTGTCGCAAAACTCCAAGTGAAGAACTGCCCCATGCTTTAGAATTTGAAGCGGGGAAACAAGTTTCTAAGAGTCATGCACGGGCGCGACGAGTCAAAATCTGCAATGGCACAATTACAAAGGAAGGTATTGTGTCGCTCATTAATGAATATATGAGAGGAAAGCCACTGCTACAGACGCGAGAGCTGAGAATTTTGCTCGAGACTACAGGAACTACGTCGATCGTTCGAAATGCTGGAATTGTAGAAGAATGGCTAAGATCAGCCAACATTGTGGGGCACAGTTTGGCTCACACTCCCCAAACCCCCGAAGAAGTCATCATTTCAAGACTAGACGGAACCAACTCATTATCCATAGAAGGATCTGTCAACAAGCACACATGCAAGAATTGTTATCTACACAGGGGCATCGGACTGACAAATTCGACCTTTGGCTGAAGACTGATCTGGACTACAGCTACCGGAGTTTGACATCAAGCATCACCCAGGCAAACAATACGGCAACGCAGATGCACTGTCCCGGAGACGCTGCGTCGAAAACTGCTAATATTGTTCATCTGTGACATCGATCTGTTGTAATCCAACCACCGTTTAGCCTGAATGTTCCTAAGAAGATAAAGAATTAAAAGAAGACTAGAGGAAAGACGAAGTTAATGACTCAATAATAAGATGGAAAGAAGGTGGCATTTCAAGTCCATCCTGAGCCGATGTGAGCCACCTAAATCAAGCAACGAAAAGCTATTAGGCGCAGTAAACTTCGACATTTTGAAAAGAATGTGGGATAGTTCAGATGGATCTTGAAGAAACGAATCTTAAAAGTGTTAGAGGTGCGCAAGCAAATATTATTGGCTGGAGAAGGCAACACTAAACTAATGGGCATTACAAAAACGGGTACTACGCTCTTCCGTTACTCTGGAGATTAATCTAAAAAGAGAATATCAACAATCACCGAAATGACTGTGACCGACACATACCACTATTCCTCTTAGCTGATAGATCCACCATCCGTGAGAAAAATGGAAGAATATCGGGCAGCATTTTATTTGGAAAAGAACTCAAATTGCCAGCGGACATCATGTTTGATTGTCCTGGATACTCTCCAACACCTGCAGATAAATACGCGGGCGAACTACGAGGACGACTGGAAGCCATTCAAAAAGTTTCTATTTATTTACAATATTTATGAACCTCTGCAATGTAGATTTTTTTGCTAACTCACCTACTTATTGGTCTTTTAAAATATAAAGTTTCAACCATTTTTCAACTTCAATAAACTTTCTTCTTAATTTTTTTTAACTTAAATTACATTTATTGCAAAAAATGCGAGAAAATTGTTCACACCCTCAGTTTAATTTCGTTTGTGTAACAATTGGATGTTGAATTGTGATTGTGTAATGTATATTAAATAAGATGTTATTCAACGTAATTTAAAAATAGAAAGCGAGGAACATTTTCTGTATTAATTTTTTTTAATTTGGAAGTCTTATTCATTCATTGGCATGCAAAGATTATTAAAAAATGATTTAATTTTACTAACAGTCTTGTTTATCGTCTACGAATAAAATACTGAAAAAGCACATTCCTGAACAGTAACAGTAACGGCCAGCTGCATGGATTTTACCTAGGGTATACAACTTTACTGGTTGTAACACAAAGATAAAACCCTTGAAGGATACACCATTGAATAAATGATTTATGAAATTTACTCCATGAATTGGTGACTTTGTCTGGTCTGCTGGATCTTGTTGGTTTGAAGATGGTTCTGATGTCCTTTGTCTCTTTAGGCTCTGCCTATTCAGTGCGTAACCGTTGGAGGATATGGTAGATATGCCAGAGAGGTAGTGCGCCGTTCGTTGATCTCTGGCATTTATTTAAACGCATTTTAAATTTCTAAACGTTTTGCGGAATTTTAGGTTTTATTTATTTATTTAGTTATCTTCTATAACACTGCATTATATTTTGTGACTTACACCATTATTTACTTCCATACTTTAGCAGTCTTCGATACCTTAGCAATATGAAAAACCTATCTCATAGTAGGTAAACATACATATGCATACTACGTACAGTCAAAAACTTTCGTAATCAGAGGCGTCATAGCAACCCATGAAGCTATATTCGTTGATATTAACGAAAAAAAGGTATGCTGATATGCATTAGGCGGCCTAAATATCACCCACAACAATTTTACTCCACCTCTTAGCAGTTATTAACTGGCTCTTGTACCACACATAGAAGAAGAAAGTGTGATCTGCTGAAACCTTTTTACACGTTTATCATAAAATTGGGTGATAATAATTTTCGAAATTCGTATAGGTAACAATCCCGAATAAATAGTTTCGTCTTATGCTTAGTGTCGTTTTTTATAACCTCTGTGAGCAGCGTTGATAATCGCTGATCTTGTTATTCACATTAACCGTACGCTTTGATATTTTAAGGATGATCAATCAGGTTGGTTAATGCACCAAGTCTATAGGACTACTATTGAATTGACAGAAGAATTATTGAAATTTATAGAGAAATATGTACCCATATTTAAACTTTTAGATATGGAGCATCAATAAAAATTCCGAAAGGAACATGATTGAGAGATACTGTAGTGATCTTAATTATGAGACCCAGTTAACTGTAAATTCCGATAAAGTTGAAATACACTTTGCAACTGATAGCTCATTTATTGGAGATGGATTTCGATTGGAATGGCAACAATTTGGATGTGGCGGTATTTTGAAACGTCCTTCAGGAAGTTTTACGTCTCCTAACTATCCGCAATTCTATCCTCCTGGCGTTACGTGTAAATGGATTATTGAAGTAAATTATGGAAATAGTGTGGAATTACTTTTCAAAGAAATTGACACAGAAGACAGATTTAAATTTGGAAATGATTATATAGAAGTATGTATTTGTCTTGCATAGCTTACATTCGTCATATGTGAAAAATTGTGATAATTACTTCTTTGCCTGCATTCACTAGGTCATTAATGGGCCCGAAAGTGATTATCCTGTTCTAACTACTTTGAGTGGTCGTCATTCTAAGCCCGTTGTAGTAACAAGTACCGGAAATTTTATGACCGTCTTATTTATTAGTGGCGATTTAAGTATGAATGGGAATGGATTCATAGCTAGTTATTCTTCTATTCCTTCAAGTAGTGAAATTCGGGTTAAAAAGTGTGGTAATCAACTTAATTAAATTTTTTTAGAGTGTGGAGGAAAATTTACGGCTTTCTTTGGTTCGTTTCATTCACCTAATTATCCATACAATTATCAACTCCAAGAAAGCTGCGAATATTACATTGAAATAGAAGACAGTCATACAATAGAACTGCTTTTTGTTGACTTTGACATTGCAAGTGATCCTTCCTGCAATCAAAGTTATATTAAAATATATGACGGTCCTACACAAGCATATCCCACGTTGAAAAAGTTGTGTGGGAATCAAAAATTCAACGGAACCATCAAATCGTCTTACAATCATATGCTTGTGGAGTTTGTGGCAAATTATTCATACACCGCTAAAGGATTTATTGCCGATTATATAACGGCATGATTAATTCTTGAAGATTGTTGTTGATAATAATTAACAATAAATTTTTAGGCATGTGGTGCGCGAATAACTACAGAAGATAGTGGTATTATTGGAAAACGTACCTCTTTGCAATATGGCGGCAACAGTTATTGCATTTGGACAATATCTGCTGCAAATCCATGTAATTTGTGTAATTATTCACTTTTTGGCTTTTACTGATACTGTACATTCTTTCATTTAGCCCAGCATATTTATTTAACATTTACTCACATATTTCCCGACAATTCCTTCTCTGACGATAATTCCACTGTCATTGCGACGGTCCATAACGGTGACAGCGACACTGATCCAATTTTACTAAAACTCACTCCGCTCAACGGCCAGCAAGAAGTTTATACAACCACGAGCACCGGTGATAGTTTACATATTATAACTCGAAACGATATTGAATTTGAAGCATCTTATTCTATTCTTGAAACAAGTTAGTAGCGCGATACTTGAGGAAAACTATAATCCTATCGTTAAACGAAATTTGTAGGCTGTGGAGGTATGTTTAGTCATATGAACGGCTACTTCGCTTCTCCTTATTTTCCGAAAAGTTATCCAGTAAATATGGAATGTGAATGGATTATTCAAACATCTCCTGGTTTGTAAAGCCTTTATACATTGGCTATGTTTTATTATTGGTGTAATCTTTTTAGGGTGGTCGGTGTCATTGAGCTTTGACCATTTTGATATCCTGGATTCTGAAGAATGCGATGTAGATTTTCTGGAGATACGAGAAGCAAATTCAACTGGAAAAGTATTACAAATACTATGTGGTGACACAATACCCGCAACTGTGTCTTCACGGATGAACTTATGGGTACTGTTTAAAAGTTCTGAATCAAACTTAACCGGAACTGGTTTCAAAGTGCATTTTAGCCTAAGTAATTTTTTCTCGTAAAAACTGTGATATTCAAAATAAAAACTTTAAATGATCTTTTACAGGCCCTGCAAGTGAATTAAGTGGTTCATTTGGACAAATTATGTCTCCCTTTTATCCATTGTATACTGCACACGATATCAGTACTCATTGGAAAATAACAGTTCCTTTTGGACACTGCATTTCACTAGACCTTAAAAATATTTACAATAGGCTGTGTGTTGAGTTTAAACTACTGGCAAAGGTACTTTGGGTAGGTATTCGGATCATACACAAAAACTACAGCACATATTTATAATAATGAAGGTACCATCCCAACCAATAATTGTGTAGAATGCTTTTGGCATATTTCTAGCATAATCTGTTTTTGGATAGTTTTCTTTTATGACCCAAAGTAGTGATAGGGCTCTATACAAATTTAGCCAGCATTCCGTCTTGTATGAACTTAATGCGTCCCATTCTCACTGATGGTGCTCGATTGAAAAAGTAGGAATTTACAATAAACGCACATGTGTTGTGTATGCCGCAAAACTTCCATCTGTGATACCATAATGAATGGGTAGCAGGTCACTAAATGTTAATGTAAGAAAACCAAAAATCAGAAGCAGATGGAATTCTTGAGAAGGCGAAGGTGAATACAATTATGTTAAATGTCATAATTGCATTCGAATTCTTTACATTTAAGTATTTTGCATCGAATAAGCATTTCGTCTTTCAAAACAAGTAATTCCGCATGTAAAAAATTACTTTTTCAATCACCCATCATTTCTAGCGCGTGCATAATTTCATTCGTCATGCAAAAAATACATACCTACCAGATTTTCATCGCAAGGTAATTTAACGCAATACTTTTCTCCATCCATATGTCCTACAATTACTATGTGTTCTACTAGTTGCAGTAAAAATCATTTATTTTCAGGACTAAATTTTTCGTATGTAGACTACTGCACTATTTATTTTTAGCAACTGCTTAACAGATCTACATATAGGTGTTACTTGCATCCATAGGTTGCAGGGGAGTACGTATGCTGCACGTTATACAATAACAAAGATGGATCAAAACTATTTAATTATAATTCTTGATGTCGTCCTTTCGATATTTGTCTCTTTAAACCAACTTCTTGTTAAATCGTACATTACTTTCTTCTGGTCTCAGAAAAATGTGGATGTACAGACACAAGTACTGCTCGTCGCGCCTCGTATCTGAAATTCGGACCAATTTTTCTCTGGACTTTAAGATAACCAACATAAGCTAGACATCCAAATCCTTTTTTTTAATTTATTTCAATGAGATGGTTTGGAGCAAATAATTCTAATGGCATTTTTAATCAATTGGATTTATGTGGAGTGCGACTGTAAATGTTTACTGCTGTACTCCATGATCCTACATGTTTACTGTCGTACATATACGCTTGTACTTTCTTTTGGGTGCTTTGATTGAATCTTTCCGAAACGCCGTTATGTTTTGGTGTATCCGGACTGATGTTCCACCCCTAGTTTATTTAAGATTTTTAGTGTGAACTTTCCAGTATATCAGTGAACCCTAATCTTCTCTGAGATGACACACTTTTACGTCGTATAGCAAAATCCTGACACTTCTCACGAACGCTTCAAAACAGTGGCCTATTTCACTATTTGCCTTCATTTCATATGCCTTTTCCAGTTATAACGCGTCGTCAATAATCTATGAGATGTATCGATAACACAGGTCTGCGAAATTCTTTTTTGAAAAGTTTTTTCTTAAATTGTTAATATTTGTCGTAATTGTCTTAAAAGTAATAGAAAACGATATTCATATGGTTTATACCACGTCACATTAACTCATAAATGCTCAGAGAACACATTTCCATTTGAACCCTTACCACGTATTGAGTGCGACGAAAAAATATTCAATAACCAGTGTTTCTATGTTCTTAACGATGCTCTTTTCGATGGCGTTGGTTAAAAATGCCTCCAACAATATTAAAGCATGGAAAAAAAACGTGATTTTTGAATTGACTTCTTTTTATATGCTTAAAACCTATTAAATCATGTATATCCTTTTTTTCTTTGTTTTGTTTAATCACATCGTTCAGGCACACTGAAGGGATATTTCTACACGTCTTACTCCCTCCGTTTTTAAATCTGCGGCAGTATCTTTATTTGCACATTTAATCGCCATTTTGTTATAATTGTCAAGTCTTAAAAGTTAATTTAAAATTAGTCAGATGACTCCGTTGCTCCGGAGTCTACTGGGAACCTTACTAGCGTCGTCACCCGTGATAACACTAATAGTTTTTTACACAATTTATTTACACAAACCTAAACCTAAGTGCAACAATCACACAGAGTTATAATTATATATATATATATATAGACAAGAACAAGTTAAGAAACCATGAAAAAAAATATATATACAGACAGCAACGAACATCGATGACAAGGTAACAACATAGGCACAAAACGGTAGAGACGTTGGAAAAAATATATACAAAAAGAATACGTGGCTGGTTTAAGTGGTTAATGCTCCCTCTCCATTACCGCTGGTAGGTGGAATGTCGGAGATAACCAAATAGTATGTTGAAAAAAAAAAGCGCAAAGTAGTGGTTGCAAAGTGATCTCTTTCTCCCTTGTTGCTGGTGGGTGGAATGTCAGAGATGATCTTTGCTTATTCTGGGACTGGTATTTATGGCAACTTGGGGTAACGAAAAGAGGTGGAAAATAGAAAGGTTGAAGTTGGGTAATGAAATCGGGTAAAATTGGTAAAGTATAAACGAATACAATATAGCAAGATACTTAGGGGGAAAAATGGAATAGATGATTGTGGATAAGAGAAAATCAAAACGATAAATAGAATTACAAATAGAAAATGAATGAAAGAAAGAATTTATCGTATATGAAATACGTAATGAAATAAATAGGAAATAGAGAAAAAATAGATAAATTTGGTAAACAACTAAAGTATGTATTAAAAGAAAAAAGATAATGGAAAAAGTAGTTAATAATTTTTTATGAAGTTCAATTTCTGAAATATGCCTAATGCAGTGACTGTTGTTGCTAAGGGTGAAACACAAACGAATTGATAAGGGAAGCAGGTAGGTCAGCGTACCGGTCGTTGGAATCGATGTACAAGTTTCGCGGAATAAATTTTGCATGTACTTTCCGGATGAGTACAACACCCGACACATCATAATCTGTCGTTTCATTTGTAAATATTTTAGAATTTTGATCTTCTCTTATACTCCCGTTACTTGTGTCTTTCTTGCCCATCACGTTAACAATTGATCATGATTTTGTTGATCTGTAACTCTGATTGTTATTTCTGCCTAGATTAGACCTACTTGTTCTTGTGTAAACTTTGTTCTTTCTCTCGTAATTACCATACTTGCTATTTTGATCCGATATTCTGTTGCACTGATAACATTTAAATTTTCCACGATTTCGGCAATCGCGTTTAATATGTCCAGCAACCCCACAACCATAACAGCGTTCAGAGGACTCAGCCTTACACCAAGTTTCACTGAAACGTAATTTTATACAACGATCTCAACGACCATTCAATGAGAATTAATAATTGCAGCAACGAATATAGCCTACCAGTATCTCACTTTGGTATAATTTGACAGATCAGTACATCATAGTAAACAGTTAATATGCCTTACAGGTATTTGATGGGCACGACAACAATGCCAGACTTCTATATAGTGGTTGCAGTGTATCAGATAAACCAATAAGATCTACATCAAACGTATTGTATATCAAATGGGAATCCATTTATGATTCCAGATTTTCATTGGCATGGAATGATATGGGGAAATGCACTAATACAATGAACACCAATATCGCTCGAAAATGTAAGGAATTCGATGAAATCTTAATTTATTTTGAAAATCTGTTCATCATCTTTTATGATAGCTTCTAAATGTGGTGAAGAAATAGCAATTGACATGTCATTAGTTTCCAATTATAAATTAACATCACCTGGTTATCCTCATGGTTATGGTTCCAATTTGGAATGCACATGGACATTTTATACTATGGTACCAGAAAACCATTTAGCTATTAATTTTAATGATATCAATCTTGATAATAATATTGATAAGTGCTTCTTTGACAAAATTGAAATTTACACTGAAAATGAATTAAATGGATGGAAAATTCAAGATACAGTCTGTTTGCCTAATGCAACAAATGCGGTTTTCAATTATGGAAGTTCTGTTAGAATTATTTTCAAGAGTAATCGGTACGGAAACGGTTCTGGATTTTCTGCGAATGTTTTACAAGGTAATTTAAATGTGCTATCATTATCGACCTTTATACGTTTCTATTTTGATTGTTAGAGTGTGGTGGAAGTATTACTGAAAGTAATGGCTTGATTAATATAAATGATACGTATTTGAAAATGTATCAATCAAACTCTACAAGTAGACTAATAGTGAGTTTTTGCAGTACCGTTCTTAATTCAATATATACAGACTCTGCTAATAATATTTTAGTGTCAATGGAATATCACTGTTAAAACGGGAAGAATACTAAATGTAACCCTACTTGAACTGAATTTACAAAATGAAAATAATGACTGCAGTAACTATATTATGGTAGGTAAGACATTGTAGCATATAATAGAAATGTACAAATTTTGTTAAAGCTCAGGAACGGTTTATTTCCTAATTCACCTTTCCTTGGGCAAGGAAAATATTGTACCGATTTATCCGAAAACGTTAACACAACAGCAAACTTTCTATACATCAAATACAACGCTTCATTATCTGCTGTAAGTTTACACGAGAAGGTGCAAATGTTTATTTTTTGCATAGGCACTTCAATTAAAATTTATAGGGCTTTAAATTGCAATTTCAAGAGGTGGGTGTAAATTGTGGAGAAGAAATCAGATTAACGGAATTCGATACGGAAACTATAATATATACTCCTAATTATCCAAATATTGCACCACCTCATACGGAATGCTCTTGGATAATATCTGCTCCTCCCAGTAGAATATTAAGATTGGATTTTATCGATAGATTTGATCTTACTACATCAGACGGGTAAATCATTGATTTAGGTGGAAATTTTAACAATTTACCATTGCATTATAGTTGCTACCTAGAGCGAGTAGAAGTTCGCGATGGAAGTACACGGTTTTCTCCTGAACTTGGTATTCTTTGTGGTCAACGTCCAAATTCATTATTTTCAACAAACAACTTCATGTTCATTAAATTTCTAACAGATATTGATGAGCCCAGCAACGGATTTAAAGCAAAAATTACAATGGGTAATCATATTGACAAGTATAAATAAGCGAATGTTTCAAAATGTTAATACTATTTAAGCTGAATGTGGAGGATTTATAACAGGGTCCCAAGGAGAAATTAAGCTACCAATACATAGTAAATCAAATTATTTTGGAAAATCTAATTGCACGTGGCACTTAATGGGACCTGCTTATCACTACATAAACATGACATTTACTGAAATTGATCTACCACCAAGTGATGCCAATGGTTGTGTTTCTGTCGATCATATAGAAATAAAGGAAAAGATACCTGTAAATAATGAAGGTGACAAATCGTCATCAAATAGGTTGACTGCTTAATTACGAATTATATTTTTAGAAAAGATTATTGGGTTATATTGCGGAAATACTAATCCTGGATCAATTTTATCTTCCAGTAATGAAATAACAATCAAATTCATAAATGTTGGAAATTCCGAAAGTGTACCGAAGTTTAGACTAGTCTTTGAGTCTGGTAGAGAATGTAAGTTACAGTATTATTTGCAATGGTTGAGGCTTTGTGTGGTCGGTCGGTGCTTGTAGACATCGTTAGCCGAACTGGATAGATTAGTGGCGATTTGTTCAACACTTACGTTTTTCTCACTACTGTGATGAGCATCTTCAGAGCTAAGTTCGCGGACGTCGGGTAGTTGTTTTATACACAATTTGTGCTCACAAACTGATGCTTACCACAATACTGAGGAAAACGTCAGCAGCGAGGAAATTGTCAAGACAACACTAAGCATCTCGGAATCAACGATGGTTGGTATCATTTCTGAGTGTAGATGTTTCTTTTTAGATATAAATAGTCATAAATGACATAGTTTCGCACAGCGTTAGGTATTTCTTTAATTTTTTATTCAGCTTGTGGTGAAACATTCAACATGGATGAGGGAGTATTTACGTCACCTGGCTATCCTAATCTTGTCCAAAGTGACGTATACTGTGAATGGACAATCACGGTATCCAATGGAAGACGAATTACATTAGAATTCCTAGACTTAGAGTTAAGTTCGAATTTACAACATGAACAAGGCATTGCTTACTCTTTTGGACAAGATCCGCGAAGTGATGTCGCATTTTTGAAAAAATATGAATCCGGCCAAATAATTAAATCATCAGAAAATGTTTTAATTCTGTATTTTTGGAACTATATACCATCAAATGTTCGTGGATTTAAAGTTCAATTTTCATCAAATGAACCCACAGGTGGTTACTTACTTATACATAATACTGATACCATTTACACTTGTTTACAGGCGCTGTGCTCTAAAAATATTTTGTAGGATTAGTAAGCGGTTTTTGGCGTAATCCTTAAATATTCATTACGTTAAGTGCGTATTGAATAAAAATAACTAATGTGTAGGGCAATCCGATAAATCACTAACCAAACCCATGTTGTTCTATACTTACAAGACCAATTTATAATTTCTACCTTAATTTTCTCCCAATATATGAGACAAAATGAATTAAATAAAGAGCATTAACTTTTTGTCAGAAGATGATGAAAACAAGCAAGACTCCTGCCTCTTCCGTATATTATTACTTACCTACTGTATCTTACTTCTCTAAAATTCCTATTAATTATCTTATAAGCCCCATCCGTCTTACCTGCTTCAAACTTTTCTTCCACTTCTTTACATCTCATATCAATCCAATATTCATTAGCTGTCCTTCACTTTATAATTATTTTTAACTTTAACTTTTCCAAATGTTTCCTTTTCTCTTCTTCATAATTTTGAATTTAAGATTAGTCTTCATAACTACTACGTTTTGATCACTATCTGCATACACTTATTCCTGAATAACTCATACAGCCTTACATCTGATTTTTAAATCTTTAACTAACAAGAAAGTAATCTAACTAATATCTCACTAAACCATCTAGCGCCTCTAAATGTTATGGTCAAATAAAGTATTCGCGAAGGTTAAGTTAAGTTTATAACAAAATTCTATCACTCTTTTCCCCTATCATTTTTATTGCATAATCCTTCACCTACCACTGCGTTGAAGTCCTACAACTATTAAGTTTTCCGTCTTCTGTATCTGCCTACACCGCTTCTAGGTTGCTCGTCATTGTAAGATGACGTAGGCAAAGACCTGCACTACTACCGTTTTTACAAGTTTTAGGTTCAATTTAATCATAATTATCCTACCGCTTTTCTCTAAAGGGCTTTCTACATTCCTGCTTTTTTACGCATTACAATTCTTACCCCGCATTACTTTCTATCGATCCTGTATAGAAAATAACAACATATTTAATAATTTCGGGTTCGCCAACTACCATGTGAATATTATCAGACAATTGTGTGTGCTATTTTGCATTCCAAAAGAAATGATATTAATCTTACTAAAAATAAACCTTTTTAGCATGTGCTTCAGATTTTTCTAAGCTATCTGGAGTGCTTACTCCACCAGGAGAGAATATGACGCATTACACTTGCTCTTGGGTTCATGTAATAAATAGTGATAATGGACAAACATTAAGCCTCTCTATACAATTGAATAGTAATATTAATAAAGGAAATCACTTTTGTGCTACTTACGATTCTGTTTTGGATGTAATAATTGGTAAATTATGGTTGCATGAAAATTTCATGATTGATAATAATATTGATATTTGTTTTTAAGGAGATTCAACCCCCTTGGCCAAGTTTTGTGCTGGCTACCAAAGTTCTGTCATACTATCACCATATATTGTTACAAAGATCAATGTAAGTCGAAAATTATTTACTTATTAGATCGAAATTTAACTACTGTCTGCATCTAGGTTTACAAAAGTGAATCACACAACTTCAACTTTACCGTTGATTACGAAACATATCCTTGTGGGGGGATAATATCTGATCCTATAGGTTCTATTTCCAGTCCAAATCTGCTAGGTCCCTTAAATGGAAAAATTGATTGTGCATGGATATTTAAATTACCCTCTGACGAAGCTATAATGGTTAACTTCACTACCTTCCATTTTAACTCAAACTGTGACGACTCGCATTTAACTATGTATAGCGGTAGTTCACCAATGAGTCCACGAATAGGAAAATTCTGTAGAGATCAGTTGCCAAAAGATTTCCACATTCAAAACAACGAGTTGCTAATACAATATCATCAGAACGACAAAAGTAAAATATTAAACAATTTTACTTTATCATATGAAACAGTAAGTGAAGGTAGGTTTCTTCCTTTATATTTGCACATACAATACACGGTTATTGATTTAAGCATTTAAATCGTTCATTAGAAGTATTTAGAGAAAGAAAAGGAGTACCTATCTATTTAATGAAAACATTTTTGGAATTGTGCCATTTCCGGTTCTACTTAAACTTGGCTATTGTAAATGGAATGCCCCAGTTTTCTTAATTTTGTTGACAT